TTTTTTTTTTTTTTTTTTTTTTTTTTTTACAAGACACCAAAAGTACTCCTTGTTGAAATTGAGAGAGACCTTCTGTTTAATGGTGTTTGTAGGTTAACGTGAAACAGTTTTGCCCCCAAAAATCCTATTATGGTTCTCAGATCGAGAGTCATTATTACTCGTTTTCATGAGAGAGAGAGAGAGAGAGAGAGAGAGAGAGAGAGAGAGAGAGAGAGATTGATGCTTCAAATTAATTTGGTTTTGGAGATTATGGCCCACAGGAGAAGATGCTTGTAAGATAGTGGCAACATTCAGGTCAAGGTCAGGCTTCTGTATCCTGCAGTTACAAAAATGTCTATTTTTTCACTCCTGGGCTCTGGAGTGTGGAGAACGAGTGTGTTTCCTCAGCTTGCTTTTAAATTGCATCTGATTTTTGGAGGGGTTTTTTTCTTCCTTTCTTCTTAAAGAAGTGAATTTACCCTCTTGTCTTTTTTTTCCAGGATAATCGCTCCAGCATGTCCAGACCCATGATCACCCGATCACCAGTGTCTCCCTTGAGTAACCAGGGCATCCCCACACCTGCACAACTCACCAAATCCAACGCCCCTGTGCACATTGACGTAGGCGGCCACATGTACACCAGCAGTTTGGCCACCCTAACCAAATTTCCTGAATCCCGGTGAGTCTCCATCTCCAATCCAAACCTAAAATGAAGGCAACTTTTGCAGCTTAGGGTACGCAACGAAGGTTTTGCATCTGCAGTTTTGTGGCTTTTTTTTTTAAGACAGAAGTGAATAATAGAGAGTGGCTTGTTCAAGTCAAAGCGTGTTTGGCAGTGCCGTAATTGTCTCTGAGTTTAATGTCAGCTTCTGTAATGTTTAATGTCATTATGTGACAGTCAAATGTCACAACTCCTCAAATCACGCGTGTATCTTGGGGAGGCACTCGGAAGAGACTGTGATGTATGAAATATGTGGTGGTGTTCGGCTTTTAATCACCCAGGTGCACACCGCGTTGCATCTTCTCACTTCTCACACTCGCAGTCTAGAGTTGTGCTTGAGAGGTAAACAATTTGCAGGAGCTGGTAGTGCAGACCACAGACAAAAGCAACTTGGTTATTCTGACAGATGTCAACGCAGCAGCAAAGAGCCGAAGGCCATGGAGCCATCTGGAGGCCGGGAGGCCACGCTGTCGCTCCGAGACCAGGCCTGAGGGTGACTGGCGCACTGCCTCAGGCAACCAAGCACCAGCTGGCCCTAACCTCTCCAGACCACCTCTGCTATTAATATCTCTTTCTTTCGTTGTCGTTCTACCTTTAAAAAAATAAAATAATTCCACCGTATAATGTATAAGTCTTTGAATCTTTGTTTTCAAAGGTAGAATAAACATGCTTTTGCTAATCTGTACACATTGTCCTTCTACCACCTTCCCACCTTCCCTATTCCCCCTCACTCGCCTCCTCTCTCTGTGCAGAATCGGCCGTCTCTTTGATGGCACAGAGCCCATAGTCCTGGACAGCCTGAAGCAGCACTACTTCATTGATAGGGATGGACACATGTTCCGCTACATTCTCAACTTCCTCAGGACGTCCAAGCTCCTCATTCCCGACGACTTCAAAGTGAGTGCATGTCTGTTCTCAGAAAACTGTAAAGTCCCATCAGCCAGTCAGCAGTCCTGCAACTTAGCGTGCACAATGCCTAGGCCACCAAACGCCTTCGGTCTCCAATACTACATGACCTCCTGGAAACGACTTGGAGTGTAAAATGTAATTATCTACCCAAGGATCTCTCCAAACAAAAAGCTCAACAGTGTCCATCTCCACATCAAGGGATGCCTTTTAGTCTAGTGTTGTTTTAAATCGCATGTCTTTTTTTTTTTTTTTTCTTACAAAACCAACGATCTTCTATGCAGGCAAATTAGCTCACAGGCTCCCATAACAAACTATTTCTGCAGCTCAGTATATGTCCAGCTGCCGAGTGTCCATCGACACTGACTCCCTCACTCTATGTGACACATTAGCATTCCTTTTTATTACTCATATGTGTCATTTACTCAGTAATTACTAAACTTGCCCTGGGAGAAAACAAATAAGCACATGATCTGTTGGACTGTCCAAAGCGCCACTCAATCAGTGGAAAGTATGCCAGTTAAAATAAGCAAAGGCTCAAGTTCATGCGGAGGTCATTTTCACATTGGGGAAGCTTTAAGAGAAGCATGTGGAAAGGGCCAAAGGAGGAGGGAAAAAAAAGCATCAGTTTCACACTGCATCTTCACGTTAGATATTTTGTCGTTTTTGGTAAAGTTCTACAAGATACATTTTTCTAACCACGCTCTAACCTGTCCTCCGCAGGACTACAGTTTGCTGTATGAAGAGGCCCGATACTTCCAGCTGCAGCCCATGCTTGCAGAGTTGGAGCGCTGGCGTCAGGACCAGGAGCTGGGCCGGGTCTCCCGGCCCTGCGAGTGTCTAGTTGTGCGTGTTGCGCCTGACCTGGGCGAGAGAATCACCCTCAGCGGCGACAAGGCCCTGATCGAGGATGTTTTCCCAGAAATCGGTGATGTCATGTGTAACTCTGTGAACGCTGGATGGAACCATGACTCCACACATGTGATACGCTTCCCGTTGAATGGCTACTGTCACCTCAACTCTGTCCAGGTACAGGATTCCTCTTTCCTTGTGGGGTTTTAATATCTTCGATTAGAAGTGATTCTAGTTTTTCATGTATTACCGAACACCTACAGTTAAAAAGTCTTCTGTACAGAGATTTTTTTTTTCATTTTACATCTCTGTCTCAAGACCTGAGATGATGATCTGTTCATTCCGCATTTCTTCATCTGCTGTTGAGAAATCTTTACTTTCGTCTCATTGCAGACTCTTATCTTTTTTTAATCTTCCCAAATCATAAGAAAAGCCTTGAAGAAATTTGACTCTTTGATGAGTTCATCAAAGGATCAATTTATTGAGTCATCGCTGTACATCTTCCACAATCCTCATTTCCCTGTTGTCTGACTAGAATATTAATTTTGACTTAGCCTCCAAAGCTGGTGGTTGGACAGTTTTTCCTTCAGTCCCAGTAGCAACACCGAGTTTTCTTTGAACTCAGTGCTGGTAGTGCCTATCTGGTTTTTTACAAAAAAAAAGAAAAATGGTTGCTGTTAGATCAGTAATAGGCATGCATGTTAATAATAACTGCCCAAAGAGTAACTAGGAACTTTTCATGCGTCCATAATAATCCTACCTTTGTGAAAAAAATATATGAGAAATTACTGTCTGATAATAGTCATTAAAGATAGTACATCTACCACTGCTACTCCTCAGTGTCAGGCAAAACACAAATACGTCTGAACTTTTGTCCACAGCTACTGTTTTGCTTTCCTGGCCTCAGCACACTTGGTACGCTTGCAGCAATAATATCCTGGATGTACACTTGTAGATTTGGGGAGACTATGACATTCTTATCACTCAGGCCAACAAAGACCTTTACAGATATGCAAAGGCCTTAAATGCATAGACATTTAAGGTCCATTTACAAGAAAGATTGTTCAGAAATAAATGTGAATGGAAATAAATGCTAGAAATAATCAAAGGAAGTATTTTTTTTATGTATGTGGTAAATATGTTTAAGGCATTTGGGTAAACAATTATTTTTAAAAGTTTTTTTTTTTTTTTTTTATGTCATCATTGTTCCATTGATACTGGCTTCTACCTGATATGTACTGCAATGCCATTAAGGGTTTCAATAGGTTTGTAGGCGTCAATATCCCATTTGCAAGACTATATCGAAATATTTTTGTATTGAAAACCTAAAATCTCCAACTCCACTGCTAAAACCAGCAGGAATTTGGCAGTAATTCACTATTGCGATTTTTTATTGATATTCCACTGATTCATTGATGGTGATGTCCTCAAATATGCATCAATAACTGATGGAAGTGAGGCATTTTAGCAAAGATTTCACAATGATTTGGATTGTGTCTCCTTCTGAGGAAGTGAAATCTCCACCTCCTTTCCAAAAACACACAAACAAAAACCCGTCTCTGAAGTGTGTGAGTAGTGGAGAGCAAGCAAGAGAGTGAGCACGCTCCCTGGCAGGTTGTCTCCAGGCAGGGCCCATAATCCTGTTTGGTTATTAAAGCACGCCGGCGGTGAATGCTGTATCTGCGGCTAATGGAGGCAGGGAGGCGGAGGGGAGTTGGGGGAGGCTGGGAGAAGGAAGGGGAGCAGAGAGAGCTGCCAGCAGTAGGGGGACCTTTGTAGTTTTGGCGGAGGCTTGGGCCTGGGGCAGGACTGAGGAAAGGGGAGGTTTTGCTCGGCAGCCCACACTGAGCCAAGTGGCAGAGAGAAAGCCTCACTGCTCCCTGGGGCCTCTTCGATGGAATGTGATCCTACAGCCCCCCCGGACACGTCTGTAGATGTCTGCAAGGCTGCAAGATCAGAAACGGCTACACACACACCCAAAGACAAACACACATATACACAAAAAAACAATGAAAGGGAGGCAGGAGGCAATATGAGAAGCTCTTTGTTTGGTGAAAGTCTTGTGAAAGTCTCATCCCAATTCCCATCACGAGCCGAATGTTGCCACAACTTAGACCCAAAGCTAATTCCAGTGGTAGAGTTGGCGCAAAGGCAAGAACATATAATTGTTTTGGGCAGTTTTGTGTTTCTTAGTCTCGCGGAGGCAATTAAAGGTTAGAGATGACAGCCATGTTTTGGCATAATAATTTCAATTGACTCCTGCCAGTTTGTTTTTTAACATACACTCAACGTTCGGCCCTTCTACATCATCCACAGGTTCTGGAGCGTCTCCAACAGCGCGGGTTCGAGATTGCTGGCTCTTGTGGCGGAGGCGTGGACTCATCCCAATTCAGCGAGTATGTCCTGAGGAGGGAACTGAGGAGGACAAGTCAGCGAGGACCCAATTCAAACAGGATAAAGCAGGAGCAGCTGGACTAGAAACCTCCAGGGCAGCAGGAGGTGCTAGACTTTTCTGTAGCAGCCAAACAATCAGGGCTGCAGAGCTCTCTGGACTCTGTTTTTCTGCATTTCCTTGTTGATGTTTCTGTTTTCTTACACTTGAGAACCACATAGAGAATAAAAAATGAAGTGCAACAGGAGATTTTTGCCATACGAAGATATGAGGCATTTGATAACTTTGAGATTGCAAAGACATTTGTGATTGTCTAGTTCCCCCATAAACCAGTTCAAAAAGTATTTATATATATATGCTGGATCCCCAAACAAAGTTTGTTTTAAAACTTGCAGCCTACATTAGGTCAAAAAATTTGATTTCTAACATACTCATATGAATTAAAAGTCTTTTATTGCTGAAGTAGTGTGTTGCATAGCTTGTCGTCAGTGACTGTTTTTGTTGTTTCACTAGCATATCGAATGGAGAACTTTTTTTTTTTTGCCCCCCTCAAAAAAACTAAATTTGTGTTGCTTAGAGAGCAGAATGTCTCAGACTTTACCAACATCTATGTTAAGGAAACACATTTTTCACAAGTGACATGTACAGAAAATCCAATGAAGTTGTGTTTTTGAAATTAGCCATCAAGGACGTTACAAACACAGTGGAAATGAATATTTTTGTAAATTATTGTCGCACCATTTGCCTCACAGGACAGTATGAACCACCATTCCGTGTGATACCTTAGGACTTGTTTCATTGGAATCTAATTTTTCTCAGTCACGACCTGTAAATTTTCATTGTATGTCTTTGTGTTTTTTACATTGAATCTTTTTAAAGCAAGTTTCTTGCCTCAGACATGACTGAACAGATTAAAAGCTTATTGTACTATCCAAACTGAGATGACTTGTATTTGTAGCACATATTGATATGAAGTTCGATATAAAGTATTTCTAAGATTACTGAAACACCTACGCTCCTTTGATTTAAGGGGAATGTAGAGTAAAAAGAAAAATGTGAAATAAATCTCAGCTAAAGTTGTAAATATTGTCTGTTTTTCACTTTGTGTGGACATCTTAGATACATTTCCTTACATCTGTTGGACCGTCCCAAACGACTCAAGTAGTAAAAGCAAATATATGAGGTTAGACTTAACCACTCTTCATCATTTACGCAAAGCAAACTATAAAGACAATATAGTGTTTATTGTAGTGCCTAAATGACAGGGCAGGGTACTTTTTACTTAGCTATACTGAATAAGGTTGACTTCTCCACGCAAGCACTGTCAGTTGTGTTTCCACATATTCCTGCAGGGCCAAAATCCAAAGTGAAATCCCACACAGAGCACTGTCGCCTTGTCTCCGTCCCTTTTGGCAGAATCTCTACTTTCTATGACTATCTTCAGTTTATGCTATATGTCTTCCTTTTAGGCCTCTTTGTCCCAGATTTCTGTTAGAGCTGTCTGCTATAATCATGAGGTGCAACTGTGGCTAGGAGAGGGTGTTATTCATAAAAAATGAAAGTGTATTTTAATTTTTAAACATATGTAAATCCATAACAATCAAAGAGATGAGATCAATGAAACTATTTAAAGCAAAGTTTTTATGACTTGAACATGATTTTTAGGAATATTGTTCAATTATTCAAGTCAAATTGTCATTTGCTAGTATCTGTAAAACAATTGGTTTTGTAGTCGAACTGGGAAAAATACTTACCTATTCTCATATTATAAAATATATCAATTTGTAGAACCAGTGCAGTGTCTAAATCAGCCATTGATTAATTCATCCATCCATTCATTCATTCATTTTTATCAACCTTTTTAGAACTGCAGGGAAAACTAACTAAAAAGGGTTCAAGCCCTCCTCAGTAAGTCTAAAATGTTTTATTAATGCAATAAAAATACGGCTTTTCAAATTTAAGAAGACTAAATACATTTTACATAAGCTTCTGCAGGCTGCACTGTGGCACAGTGGCTAACACGGTATCAGTTTTGGATTTGAGTCCTGGGTTCTTTCTGCTTGGAGTTTGTGTAGCATGTGCACCGATCTGAAATGAACAGGTGTCACAGAGAATCACAGACATCCCTCTACTACACAACACTTTACCCCTACTGTACTATGATCAAAAAACACTTGACTGTATGTTAGTGGCTATGGTATAGTGCGCACTGTAGTTCTTGCTAATGAGGTTTAGTTTGATTCCAGCTTCCCCATGCAACATGTAAAGTCTTCTTGAGAGGGGAGTGCTGCGGTGGCTCAGGGGTTAAGCACACCCCACATAAGGAGGCCTTAGTACTCGACGCGGCCATCACAGGTTTGATTCCCGGCCTTGTGACCTTTGCTGCATGTCTTCCCTCTTTCTCATTGCCCTACTTTCCTGTCATAGCATTTTCAAATAAAGGCCACTAGAGTAAAAATCTTTAAAACAAAAATTCTTATGTTGCATACCGATAGTAGATTCTGACGGCATTTTGGTAAAAATAACTAGCGGCCAGTGTGCCTAAGAAAACTTCTATATAAGGTCAGCCCGTGTATTTTAATATGATACAGATCAACTCTGACTATATGATTTGATGGAATTGGTTGGAAGTCAATTTGGCTCAAATTGTATACATATGCTGTAACCTAGAGCGTTAAGAGGAGATATTTCCAGAAAGCACTTATTTGATTATTTTCCTTTTCCATTATTTCAGATCTTCAGATCTTCAGACCTGTACATTTCATTGTGTTCCATCGTGAACAAAATAATCTTGCCCAGCCTGTTCACTTCTTATTTCCTAAATTTAGACCAGGTTGAAAAGGAAGTTTAGACATTTTCCTCACAGGATATTGCCTGTTGGAAAGTAAGATAAATGGTCTCAGTCCTTTACATAAAAAGGGTCTGAAGGAGATTAAAAAGAAGAAGTTTTATATCTTTGAACGTTGCTTTCTGTCTAATCCTTTTTTGCAGTTTTAAAAAGGCAGAGTAGGGCCTAGAGAAAGTGGACACAGCAATCTTTCCTTCAATCTGCAGGCTTTGCTTACTCACCACCAGTGAAGGTCATTCACTTCATCTTCAGATCATCACAGTCCTCCAGTCTATACAGACCAATGTATGCAGTACCTGCTCCTCCTAACTGTATTCATGTATGCGACTCTAAACTGTACTCTGGATTTAGTAAAACTATTTTCAGCTTTTTCTCATATTCTGTGTTGATCTGTAGGTAATATTTTGCACGGTAGGTGCCTCCCACCTTTATTGAAAAAGCCTCATGGCCATCTTATGCGAGCAAGATAATTATAAATGTAACCTATGGCAAAACAGCTAAAAAACACAACTCCCACATCTCTCCCTTGCCATTTCTCACTCTCTTTCTACTTCTCTTTCTTTCCTTCCCTCCCTCCCTCGCTCACTCAGCCTCAGGAGCTGATTTCAAATTTTCAAAGGTATCTCATGGTGAGCCTGGGAGATTGAAAGCTCATAAATACCTTTATTATAATATAATGGTCACATATTACTACCCATTATTTCGAGGAGAAAAATTGGTTCATTTGTGTGATGAATGCCATCACAGAGGTCTTAAATGTTCTTAGATGGACAGTGGCAGGGAGAATAATACCTCAAATGGGCACTCACTGGTAGATTGATATGTCACTGTGACTTTGCTTGACTCAAATAGATTCAGGTCGTCATGTCGCAGAGATTTTACTCAGCCATACATGCTTTTTTGGAGCAGTATTTTTATCAGTCATGCACAAGCGGAGGTGGATAGGAGTGTCCAGCCTGCCACAATTACTCCAAAAAAACATCCACAGCTCACCTGTTAGAACAGAGAACAAGGTCTAAAGCGTTCAAGCCATGTTTGCCTCAGTTAGACTCAGTATTCATGATCCATCTATAAAAGTTTACAAATGTTGCATCCACGGTACAAAGGCAAAAGTCACTGTTGGCCATTTAGAATACAAACTCCTCTCTCACATTTGCTAAGAAACATCTTGATGACTAGGAAGACTTTTGGTAAAAGTGAAATAACAAAACAGCAGGGGAACATTTTGGAAACAGAACAGTATACTGAGGGTCAAACATGGAGGTGGTAGTGTGATAATCTGAAGCTGCTTCCCTGCATTGGGATTTAGATTACTTTCTGTCATCAATAGAAGTATGAACTATTCTTTCTACCATAATGTCTGTCCATCAGCTAATCACCTTAAGCTCGAGATCAACGTCTCTATGGATCAGAACGGTTTGAAATAGAGCAGCATCCCTAAAAAAAATCAAACTGATGGTTTTGCATTTGCCTAGTCAAAGTCCAGACCTAAATCCAATTAAGATGTTGGGGCATGATCTCAAACAGACTGCTCATGTTCCCACTAATGTGGTTGAAGACCCATGGAGGTGGCTGAATTAAATAAATGTGAAAAGAAAAGTACTTTCTTAGTGTCTATGGAAGTTTTCACATATTAAAAACATGCATGTTAACTGATGATTCTTAATTGGCTTGATGTTGTGATAAGACTCGCCATGTCTTTTGGATTTAGTCTATGCTGCTAACCAGGATAAAGCAAGTGCTGAAAAAACTGCATGTAAGAAGATCCTTTTACAGAACATTTTACAGATTAATGTTGTATTGCAAACACATACCAGCTTGTATATCAAACCAACAAATAAAATTAACAGTGAGAGTTTTAATATTTTTAAATGCAACTGCTCCTTCTCTTTGAACGACTTTTTGTCCAGATAAAATGAGATATACATATTAACTGAAAAGTAAAATAGAAAAATGTTTCTCTGCGATTGCTCTTTATGTTAAAAAAGTTTCTTGTATTTTCATTATGTTTTCTTTTCTTTTTCTTTTGCTTCCTGTATATGTGAAAGCATAAATGTAGACAGAAGCTTAATGGTTGTTTTCTTTGACTTTTAACATCAACAGGAACACTTTCTTGATTCACTGGGCTGCAATATGAGACAGTACTTCAAGTAGGGAGTTTAAGGTAGTACTGTGCAACATCCCATTGCTTCCTATTGTTTATTTATCAGTCAGGCCTTGAATTATGTCTCGCTTGCAGTGAGGAATTTTAGACCGGACTATAGTCGCTGCAGGCCCATTGGCATACACTGTACACTGAGGGGGAATCATTTATATTCTACTCCAGAGGTAACAGAAGAACATGAGATTGGGAAACAGCTCAAACACCACTCTGCTTGTGAGGCTTTAGGCAGAAAGAACTCAAGCTGTTTTTTTCTACCTCCGTAGTACATTCAAGCAACTTCTGGTTTTCTTTTTCCAGTCTGTCTAAGGAAATCTCTCAATACATAGAGCGTGTGCCATTTACCGTTATACCTTCATGCTCGGAATGTTTAGTCAATTCTGTACGGCTCGTCGAAGGTGTAAAGGAATGCTGGCTTTGGTGAATTCTTAAGCAGCAGTAGAAATCAGACTAGCAGAAGCTTCACGTAAAATGCTGAAGGTACCACATTCTAAACAACGCTGAGCAAAGCCCGCGGGGCCTTTTCAACACTGAGATAATTGCAAATGTATTCTTTAGCGAAAACATCAGCAAACCTGCCTCCTCCCTCACTCTTTTATTTTTCTTCCTTCTCCCTTCCTTCAACTGAGAATTAATAGGGGATACCGTACCTTGATTAAAAGGTCCGAACTATACAATGTTGTTCAAGAGTAGCGAGCCTCCCCCCTGCACCAGCTTCTCACATGGGTAGACCTGCATGCAAGGAGTGCTCTAATGATTCTGGAGCTCGCCATTCGAGGGCCACCCATCCATCATAGTGGTAAGGCCAGCGGCTTTATTATAATACAGAGGACAGACATGCTCTGAGGCTATGTGGGACACAATAGAGGTCTTTCAACAGACCTATAAATACATGATCTGTCAGACTTGCTGTCCTGAGGGCGCTCTCAGCCAGGCTCTAGCCCTCTGGTTAGCCATCACTTATGCTAAGATATGCGCTGGCCCTGGGGCTAAGGCTAAGGCTCAGTTCATTTCAGCCCCTCATCAACCAGCACATTCTACCTCGAGCCATGAGAATAAATAAGAACAAGATGAA